ATTTGTTTCTCTAGCGTACCCAAACTAACACAACCACATTTGCTTATGCACCCATGTTGTCTTCAGCAATCGTGTTGTGAAGGTGAGCATACAGAAAGTCAGGTTATTAGAACAAAGTGTACTTGCATTGAGGGAGTACTTGAGTAGAGGCCCAATGTCTGTCTGCTACCTTAATACTTAACATATATGTACAAGATCTATTTCCCTATTGTTACATATACATATATTTACGTATGTACATGCCTTTATTTAGACCTCCATGAATGTCCTTTGCCTCCTAAGTCTTTCCTCTGTTTCCACAAAGCTCTTTCTTACACCCGAGTGTCTACGAATTTGTTTCTCTAGTCTTCCCAGACTAACATAATGGGTTTCCCAGGAAGCTTTTCCAGAAGTAGATCACCAAGGAGCCCCTGGGCTCAAACCTCCAATGTTTCAGTTACCAGCTGAACACATTAACTGTTTGCACCACTGAGGGAATGACGGAAAGGCCACATCTGACCTCCCCTCGGCTTCAGTGGGGAGAAAGAGAACCCCCTCTCCACGCCAGCCCGAGGTTGATTACCACAGAGCAGAGGCCAAGCACGCTACCACACTCCATCTGCCTTTCCTCTGTCCTGACACCAACCTTCCACCCCACTCATTCGACGTTTCTGCCGATTTCAATAGTCCATTGCAATGGCCACACGTAGCTTACAGATAATACTCCTGATTATGGGATGTTATTAGGGAAGTTAACAGGTTACCACAGTCAGGATTATAAAACATGAAGGAGACAGTCTTGGGTTCACAGTAGAGCCTGCCCTTGGCCAACAGCTGCAGGTCACTCTGGTCTCCAACCTCTCAGCCACATGGTGCCTTGGCCTTCCCCTTCTTCCATGGGCTAGAAAGCCCACCTTCTACTCTGCCTCACGGCCTTATGGTCTCATGGCCTCTGGTCCCAGCCCTGTGGCTCTCTGCTCTGGTGGCCCTGGTCTCGAGTGGCATGGCCTCTGCTCGTTCCACCACTGTGGACAGGAATCTCACAAGAACAAGGTCCTCTGGTCCCTCTTCTTCCTTGACAGTCCCTGGGATTCTCTCCTTCTGGTTCTGAGATGCCCCATTCTAATACCCACTAATCCTCTCTCACGGTGTTTCACATAGTTTGTTTGCATGGTCCCACCCAATCATCTGGTGGGAGTCCCAAAGGCATGAATAGAAGGGACATTCCAAGTCATTTCTTCACCACAACCTCCCAGGAACAAAGCCAGTGGCCACTCAATCAGTTTCCCCTCACAGTCACCCAGGAGTGTCAGAGTAGAACTATGCCCTGCAGGGTTTGCAGCAGCTGGTTTTGTACGATGTAGATCCCCGGGCCTTTCTTCCAAAGGGTCTCTGGGTGGGTTTGAACTTCCAAAGTTTAAAGGAGCAGCAAAACAAGTTGACTATTTGTGCCACTCAAGGACTCCCTTCAGCTCGACAGGCATCCCCAAATACCATCCCCCACCAGAATGAGGCAAGGGTGTTGAAGGAAGAAAGGTCCAGCCCCCTTTCTCTTCAGTAAGGAATATTGTCCCCCAGAGGAAAAGGATCCCCAGCGATCAGGCCCAGTCCTCAGTCCTAAGAAGGTGTGTTCGCTGGTCTACTACAGAACTGAAATTTTCAATTAAGAGACAGTCCATGTTTCTTATAAATATATAACTTTAATATACTATATATATTTACAATATGTACAGCATACCGACATTTTCAATGTAATACTAACAGCAATCTTGAAAACAGAGATGGTTTCAAAATAAAACATGGGTGCTCATCTGGGGTGAGCTCCTCCTTGAACCAGAACCCACATACTAGACAATGCCCACATACTAGAACCCACATACTAGACAAGGCCCAGATTTCTGCAGAACTCAAAGGAGGAGGGGGTTTCAGGAACATGGCTCTAATACCCTTTCCTATTCCCCAAACCCCCCTCCCACTGGCCCCAGCTGGCACAGCCCCAGGTACAGCCCTAAATTGGGCATAGCACCTGGCACCTACTGGCCACTCGAGTGTCTATGGAATGGATCAAAGTGAAGGATTTTCATGACCATGTCTCAGACAGCGTCTCTATCATCTGGAGGAGTCCGTTTCAGTCTTAGAGCTAAAGTTCGTCTGGAAAGGAATGCATCAAGTGTTTCTCTGTCGTAAGTGAAACCATCTGCATATTCGGGTGCGGAGTAAATGAAAAAAACAAATCCAAAGCACCATTTCTTCCTCATGCTCTTCAATCTGGGGGCCACACACCACTCCTCTATCTTCCGAATGTTTCTTCACACTCGACTAGTTCATCCACCGTCCGCAGCAAATCTTCAAAGGTAGGTCTTCCCTCTGGTTTCTGCAATCGGAAATCAAAGAGAAGCTGTGGGTCCCAGAGTCGATTCCCCGGCTCTCTCCTGGTTCTAGTGGGCACAGCATGCTCCAGCGAGGGGCTCGGTGCTTTGGGCCTGGCAGGGACACATGCTAAGCAACATGGTGGCAATTCCAGTCTACCAAGAGATGCCGGGCAAGGCCATCCTGGCAAGCTGCTTCTGCATGCTCACAGCCTGGGAAACCCTGCGGGAGGCTGACAGCGCCTTAATACCTGACCAACGTGCAGTGTAACGGATACAAAATGGTCTGCCTGCAGCAGAATGCTCTTTGACGAGCATTCCAGGTGGGATCCGATTCCCAGCGGCAACTGGAAAGATTCATTAAGCAACCCCTGGTGGGCAGGGGGTTTCTATGACAAGAGAGGAACAGCTCAAAGAGTGTGAGAAGGTTGTACCATTCTCAGAAGGCAGGAGAGGTCACTGATTTGTCTTGGTGGAAACTTGAACTGGTGTGTGTTTTGCTGTGACTATTCTTGACAACACGCTAAACTGTTAAAAAAAAAAATCTCCCCCGAGGGCAGTTCCACTTGGCCGCACGTGGGTTGGCCATGAGTCTGAATGGGTCAGATGACCACTGGGTTGGCTGTGTTTGGTAGGGAGCTTGACTGGGTTGGGGAGCAGGGACGAGAGATCAGCATGGCAGGAAGCTAGGAAGATCCACCCCGTGGTCTACTCGCATGTGCGGAAAGGTTTGGGGATGAGACAGGCCCCATGGGGACATTTGTATGTGCTGGTCCCAAAGCAGCAAGTGCCTCTCCGTAGCACGCAGAGTGAGTTTGAACCAAAGAACAAAGCCGAATCCAACCCTGCTCATGCCTCCTGCCTTCCTCCCACACTTTACCCGCCCAATTTCATTTCCCGCCCAATTTCATTTCCCACCGCAGCCGCAGGGGTGCTCTTGCTTTCTGTCGCACCAAGCCCCCTTCTGGTGTACCAGGCCATGATTACTCCTGTTCTCGCAGCTGGGGTCTCACTATTCCCTTTCCCTGCACACACTCACACCGCTTCCTGATGTGCTGGTGGGGAGGAGGGGGGGCTTTCTAGTGAGTCACCGAGAGCAGGGGCTCTGGGGCCAGGCAGGCCTCTGCAGCTCTCTAGCTAAACAGCCACTGTCCAAGCCAAAGCTTCCAAGCCCCGTCCCCTCCCTGAGCGCACTGTCACAGGGAGAGCACCTGCCCCACACAGGGAGATCTGGGGAATTAAATCAGACAACAAATGGAAATCAGACAGTCAGTGCTATCTTACTACAAGTGAGTTAATAGCATTAACTCTTAAAAGTCATTTGGGTCTCTAGTACCTTCTATGAGGTAAGAAGACTATAAGAAGAGAGACCAAAGGAAGTGGGGTTTACAGAAAAAAATCTTCTCTGGTCCCCGTCAGTGCCATAGGAGACACACTAGAAAAGAAGAGCCTTTCAAACCTGGCCAGTGGGCCCGCCTCCCACTTGGGAGTAGCGCCGCCCGTATTGACTGTAGGCACCCCTAGCATTTCCCATGTTTCCCCTTGTTTCTCAGAGCAGAGTTGATAGGCTAAGCCTCCCGCCCCCAGCTTGAAACAGCCACAAAACACGTGCCCACTCAGGCAAGGGTACAAACTGGACAGGGACCATCCATCTCCCACGCCCAGATCCCTCCCTGTTCTAGAAATTCAACGTGAATGCACAGAAGAAACACACCTCCTGCCAACAGCGCAGCATCACCTCGTACACGTATTTGGATGCCAACTTGGGCCGGTAGAGTCGGTGGCCTCTCGTCACCATGGTGACCACTTCATAGTTGGTGTTCTTCTCGAAGGGCATTTTGCCTTCAGTGAATACTTCCCACATGAGGACACCTGGAAACAAGGCCCGGGTCAGCCCGTGGCACACCCGCTTCCTCCGAGCCGCCGGGGACGGGGACACATGGGGAACAGGACATACCGAATGACCACACGTCCGACTTGCTGCTGAAGCGGCTGTAATTGAACACCTCGGGTGGACACCACTTCACAGGGAACTTGGCCCCCGAGGAGCTAGTGTACTGGTCATCCAGCACGTACCTAGAGGGACACAGGCCAGGGGTTAGACCGCGGGGCACCAGCTGCACGGTGGGCACATGTACTTGTTCTTGCGTGGTTTTCCTCCCTCCCATCCGGTGGTAGCGACATGTGTAACTCTGCGGCCACACCTGGTTGATTTTCATCTCCCTCTCAGCTTTATTTAAGTGCATAGGGAGGATGCATCAACACGCCTGTAGCTACACTTGAAGTTCTCTCTCTCTCTCTCACACACACACACACACAGCACAACAGAGGCAGAATGCAGTAAGTGCTTGCACAGTTTCCTTGTAAGCAAGCTTTGCTCTTTCAAACAGCACTTTACTCCCAAGTTCAATACGCAAAGCCTCTGCAGCCGAGCCGCCCTAGAGGAAGTGGTGTCGAAGCTCTGGAGAAAGTTAGGCTCCACCCTTGAAAAGGACAGCATGTAAACAAGCACACGGCAGAGAAGAAAACCAAACAACAACAAATCCCCAACCCCCTGGCTTCAGAGTGACTTCGGACTCAGCGTGACCTTATCTAGGGTGTCTGAGGCGGGACATCTTTACAGGAGTAGAAAGCCTCGTCTGTTTTTCTCAGGGGGGTTGGTAGGTTCAAAGGGCTGATGGTGCAGTTAGCTGCCCACTGGGTACCCACAGTGCCCTTAAGTGGATGGGAGAGCATATTTGTATGCACTGAGGCATCCCCCCGTCCCTGCCACACACATTCACAATAACAGCACATAGGTGGTGTCTTGGTCGCGAGTTGGGATGCTGAACCATAGGTCAGCAGTTTGAAACCACCAGCTGTTCTGAGGGAGAAAGAGGAGGCTTTCTACTCTTGCAAAGAGTTCCAGTCTCAGAGACCCACGGCGACAGTGCTGCCCTGTCGTATGGGGTCGGTGTGAGTTAGCGTGAACTCGACGGCAGTGAGGTTGGTTCTGGTCTATTTTTTCCCTACAGACAGAGTACAGGATGCACATAATCGGATATCCAAGGTTACATCTGGGGATAATCCTAGATTAGGGTCAAAAGGTAGTAGACTTCAGCCCTCTCTATACATTTTCAGCATTTACACGAGGGATGTATTTATGTAGCAGATGGCCATTTTAAGTTAATATACAATAAACTCAAAGCCCACACCCACTGCCACTGAGTCAACTGCAACTCAAAGCGAGCTTATTTAGTTCTCTGAGGCTGTAAATCTTGGCCGGAGCAGATAACCTCAGTTTTCTCCCACAGAGCAGTTGATGGGTTTGAACAGTTGATCTTTCAGTGAGCAGTCAGTCCAATGCTTACCCAACAGGGCCACGAGGGCTGGGTCACAGGCAGTATAAAAAGAGGAGGTGGACCAGATCTGGCCCGTAGATCACTGCTCTATCACATCATGTTCTATCACATCCTCCCCACCCCAGCTCTCACCCCAGCCCTTACCATGTATCACGGTCTAGTTTTTTAAAACTATGTTTTCAGGTCTTAGGTTTCTGCCTCTTCCTGCATGTGAGCTTCCTAAGCTGCCTGTGTGCCCCTGGTACATAGAAGGTACCAGAAGATTATGGATGAGTGAATGGGCTTTCTCCAACAAAGGACAATCTAAGTACGTTTTAAAGGCTTTTCTCCCCAATCCTCTATTACGATTATAAAAATTAGGAAAATAAAAGTATGCGATATGGATGTATTAAGGACTTGCCCCACAAACACACTTCTGGGAAAACTAAGGATTCCACATCAGGGAGAAAGAAAACCAGATAGTGTCTGTAACAGGTTATACAGCCACCTAGTGGAGAAGAACTATATATACATCATGGTGTCCATACTGGGCTATTTTAATGACTTTACTTATCTCGGCACCAAAGGAAAAACTACTAACCCAAAGTCATTGCCACTCAATTGATTCGATTCACAGTGCCCCTAAGGGATCAAATAGAACTGCCACCACCACCACCACCATCCACCTCCCTCCTGCTTTCCCCCACCGCCGCCCCAGTTCCTGAGACTTTTAAATCTTGACAGGCAAAGCCAGCCTCATCTTTCTCTTGCAGAGTGGCTTGTGGATTGGAACGGCCAACCTTGTGGTTCGCAGCCCAATGCCTAACCTGTAGCGCCACCAGGCTCCTTTCTCAACACAGCTTGTTTATCTTAGAAATGCTCAAGCTAACAGTTAGAATGAATAAATGTGGCAACGAATTTTCAAAATGTTGAGAATCTAATTTATTTTAATATTTTATGCAAAAAAATACTAAGTAGCAGGAATAAAACAATTGGATCTCCCTATACAAAGATGACGGCTACAACTAATATATTGCTAATGGAACCAAAGATGTACTTTCAAAATGGTTCTTAAAACAGGACGGGGGAAGAAGCTGATGTCAACGGCAGAGGGAAAGTCACGCCTTCTGCACTTTCAGGGGGAGCTCAGAGCCTCACACCACTGTTAGGCAAAACTCTACAGGCAATGTTCACATAACCTCGGTCATACCTGGCCATTCCAAAATCGGAGACCTTCACCACGCCTGCTTCATTTACTAGACAATTTCTGGCAGCCTGGAAGAGAACATTGTAATACATTAGTTATAAGGCTCCAGATTCATAACAGAAATCTGCAAAGCTGCTCATTGTCACCAAGTCAGTCCTGACTCATAGCAACCCTGTAGGACAGAGTGGGACCGTCCCTGTGCGTTTCCAAAACTGTACAACTTCCCAGGAGTAGGAAGCCTCATCTTCCTGCCGTGGAGTGGCTGGCTGGTGGTTTCAAACTCCCAACCTTGCAGTTAGCAGGCCAGCTTGTAACCACTATGCCTCATGTTAAATGTGGTGCTACCTGTCAACAGCTGCAGAGGGTGGAAATGCCATCTTCATCAATGGTCTTGGCTCCAATGCACATTTGAAAATGAGCAGAAAGCAAGGTAAGGAAATTCTACCTGGGATAAAGTATTACGTCACCTTTACAATGGTCAGACCTACAGTATATGTGTTCTACAGAAGAGCCAATCCCAAGTTCCCCTCCAGTCCTATTCGTATTAAGGAATCTGATTATTTTATTAAGTTTCTTGAAGTCCTTAATCCAGGTTCTCCCTCGGCCAGGTTCATGGTACACAAGCATGAAGGCAATGGATGACCAATCTTTTACCCAAAGGCTTTGCTTAGTGATTGTCACATTGATCCCAAATAGTCCAAAGACAAGTGACATGGAAACATAGTTTGATTTGCCACTTTGATGTTTTCAGCACATTATAATATACTCTACTGAACTGGTCAAATACAGTTCTAGATTATTTGGTTTCTACCTTCTTGGCCCTTTCTTAAAGTTGCAGGGCTCAGGAAAATAGTTTGGTAAAAAGACAGGACATTCTTCACATCAGAAGACAGATGTGATATTTTAAATACTATTACCTAGTGTTTCCCAAAGTGGCCAATGCAATCCCCTGGGAATGCTGGAATGATCCAGGGTGGCTGCATTTTACTCTGTATTATGGGCTATAGACATTTTTAATTGCCCAAGGGGGCGTTGAGTAATTTTTTTTATGAAAAGGATGTGGTGGGCCAAATAAGTTTAGGACCCTGAGGTATAACTCATGGGCTTATGTTTATTCTTCTTTGACTGCTCAGAATGTGATTTGTTTCTGTGGTCCTTGCACTTCTATGAGCGTCTCCTCCAGAGACAGCTAGCTAGTGTCCAGTCCCTAGATCACCTCCATCTTCCCATGAAGACATCCCACAATGCCATCGTTTAGTGGTCCCCACAATTCTTTACCAGGAATTGGGAAGACAGGCGAATTCATGTCATCCCTTTACAGAGACACTAAATGTCTCCCTTAAGTTTGCACACCCATGCACTCTGATTATGTGGAAAGAGAAGGCCCCTTGGGAAAGATGATGTCTTGTAACATATAAATAGGGTGGTTTCACAATTTTGAATGGATTTCTGAGACTCATAATTGGCTCCCAAACAGCCAGCTTGTGAAACAGATCTGCGCAGCAGAACCCAAAACGTGGTCGGATGAAGACTGAGAACTTCACTAGAAGCAGTCAATGAAGCTTGATGCTTGGGGCAGAAATCATTTCCCTGAAGACCCCTCCTCATAGCCCTCACCTCCTTCCTATGCAAATGACTGCTGACTTTCCACACATTACCTATCCCCCATCCCTCTCCACTGGGTAACAGAAAAAGCTGCTAGAGTTATGGCTGGGGCATAGAGTCTCTGGAATACCACATGTTGCTCATTCTGTGTGTTTTTGGAAGGGAAAACTAGGCATCACCAAGGCCATTTTCCTTACATCCATCCATCTGCGGTTGAACTTTTTCTACTGAAAATCTCAAAAGCTGACTGAGTAAACCAGTTAGCCACAGAGGATGTGGCTACACCTGCCACCTTGTAAGGGGGGAAGTAACTTAACAAATGAATTGCTTGGAAATGGCAGGGGGATGTGTGGCATCTGTGGGGTTAAAAAAAAAAGTCCCGTCTTTGGATCCTAATTCTACAAACTAGTAATGCAATCTTGAAGAACATGCTTAATAAGCCTGAGTGTTGGTCTCCTCACCTATAAAATAGGTGTTATAAATGGACTAAATTAGGTTTTCCCAAAAGAGTTATGTTGAAGTACCTCTGTATGTGTACCTGTGAACCCCCATGCCTTTGAGTGTGATCTGGTTTGGAAATAAGGCCTTTGGAGACGTTATAAGGTAGGTAAATATGAATGAATGAATAGGGTGGGTCCTATTCTCGTATGACTGGTATCTGAATACCAGAGGAAGATGTATACAGAGACGTAGAAACCAGGGTCATGTGATGATGCTTCTACAAGCCAAGGAATGCCAACGACCTCTGGCCTTGAACAGGAAGCTAGGAGAGAGACATGGAACAGAGCCCGTGTCAACCCTAGTTTTCAACTCCTGGGTTCCATTCCGAAAAGCCACCAGCACCAGCTTGTGGCATTTTTCAATGGCAGTCTTAGGAAACTAATATAATGGGGACAGCAAACCTATTTTAAAGGCAACTGATGATAATGAGTGTAATTTTAAGCACCTCGGTTTTACTTACTTCACAATGATGCATACTGAAAGGACAATTTATATTTGTGAAAAGCTTAATAACACCTTAAATTTGGCACAAATAAAATAAAACAACACTGAACACGTATTCAAAATGGAAACTGTAAATGTAGAGACTTTAGATAAGTCTGGGTCCTTCATTAGTTCATTTAATTATTCACTGAACTATGCCTCGCATATTTACTGAGAAGCTACTGATAAAAAGCAGCTAACACGTGTGGATCATTTATCTTAAGCTAAACATTGTGTATTACCTCATTCAATCTCCACAAAAGTCTTAATAAAAAAGTACTATTATTACCATTATAATTCCCAATCAACAGAGTCTCATTCCAGCAAACCAGTTGGGGTGTGATATGGCTCTGCCTTATTGGGCTCCTATTGTTACAAAATGCATAAGGATTTTTTTTTGTATTTGTGAGACACTTCACCTGAGTTTATAAAGGGTTTTCCCATTCATCACCTGCACCCACCCCCCACCCCCCATGAGCTCTTCAGAAGCCTACAAGGACTTCCTCTGGCCCTATAAGGGATGAGAGCCCTTGCTGATGAAGGTGAAGGATCTCCGTCTTCAATGTGGCTTACAGCTGTGTCAAGAAGACCAAGCTCCTCACAACTGGACCACTAGGGAACCTCATGAAACAGAGAACAGATGGACGTTGCCAAGGGTGTCCTCTTGCTTGGATCCACAAGCAATGCTCACGGCAGCATCAGTCAAAAGAACAAAGGACACGTTGCATTGGGAAAATCTGCTGCCCAAGACCTCCTTCGAGTGTTGAAAACAAGGACGTCACTTTGAGGATGTGCTTGATACAAGCCATGGGACTTTCAATTGTCTCACGTGAAAGTTGGACATGGAGAAGGCAGACTGATGAAGAATTGATGCATTTGAATCATGGTGCGGGTGAAGACGATTGAAAGTATCAGACTGACAGAAGAACAAACAACTCTGTCTTGGAGGAAGTCCAACCAGAATGCTGCTTGGAGACAGGGACCACTTACTTAGGGCATGTTGTCCTGGAAAAGGACGTCATGCCTGGAAAAGGAGAGAGGCAGTGAAAAAAGAGGAAGACCCTGAGCCAGATGTGGCTGCAACAACGGGCTCAAACGTCGGGACGGTTGGGAGGATGGCCTAGAACCAGGCCGAGTTTCGCTCTGTTGTGCAGAGTCACTATGAGTCAGAACTGACTCTAGGGCAAATAACAACGACCACGATGAGGGCGAGTCCATCATTATTCATATTGTGCAGGCTAAGAAACAGAGGTTCAAAAGTCCAAGAAGCTCAGGTCCCCTTCAACGTAAAGTTCGGATTAAAGAGGTCTCTAAAGCCTGCCGTGGCCCAGTCTGCTGGCTGCCTTTTGTGTTACAACAGAACCCTGGCTGCTAGCTGGCACACCTTTCTCCCATGTAGACAGCTGTGGTGTTCAATCTGCTGACTTCTTGGCTGAACTGTTGGTGATCCCAGGGCACATGCTAAGCAAAACCCACCGCCTTGTACTAGATCCTGACTCACAGTGATTCTATAAGGCAGAGTAGTTCTGCCCCGTGGGGTTTCTACAGCTGTGCGTCTTTATGGTAAGGGCGTTCCCTGTCCTTCCCCTGTGAGCGTTATGTTCAAGGGAAACAATCTTCCACCTGGCTGAAGCCACCGTGTACCTGAGTTTTTGTGTTATGTGAATTCCAACCCACACGGCCTGAATAGCAATCGTCTACTTTGCTGTTACTTGGGAATCTTGTATTGCATTCAATTTCACTGGCACCAATACGAAATGCTAAGAATTATCCTCAAACTATTTCAACTGATGTGCTACTCAGTTGTTAACTGCTCTTAAAAGGGCCGTCGGTACACACCTGCTACAGTGATGTCAACGTCACAGGCACAGGGGTATTAAAGAGTCGTTTACTCATCAGGTATCCTCTGGGCTTGTGGTCAAAGGCAACTGTGAGTACTTAATGAGCACTACTTGAACAAATTAACAACTACTTATTAATTTCAGTGTTATTATTTCCCAAATCATAATAGGCACAAAGAAGGCACTGGAAATAAATAAGTGAATAAAAATAAAACTAAGTAAGAAACAACAACAACACAAGAAAGATAACACAAAATCTTAAACTCAAAAGGAAACATGGATGAAGGGATTTAAAAGTTCTGCACATCCTATTTAAAATCCTTAAAAGCCAAAAACCGCACAAGATCATGAAGGAGCTTCTGTGCATGCTTTAGTCTCTAGTTTTATATCTTTATGCTATCACATGTTTGTGATGATTTTGTGAAATTCTATTTACCTAAACATTTATTTTATGTGAGCTTTACAATAAAAGGTTGAAATTTTTTTTAAATGCTTACCTATGTAGATGGGTAGTCTGCTACACTCACATAGACGTTTATTTATGTGTTTTTTTAAAAACTGGTTTCCAAAGTACAAAGAGAAAGGTGCTTAGTTCATGAGTTTCCATATGACAGCGATGTTCTTTGGCATCACTGAGCGTGACGACATCAACTAGTGCTACACACAGCGCAGCCTCGATGGTCCAAATTCCTTTGTCCCGACCAGACAATTCTCCCCTTACAGCATTCTGTGAGCAGAGCAATATGAAAGCCCACCATTGCACCAAAGTGGAAGCAGGGTCTGCAGAGAGATTTGCTAGCTATCCCCAAAGGGACTCTGTCACCAAGGAATTCAATTCTCTCAGTCACTTCAAGTCCAGCTCCTCAACGCTTGTGACGTTCTCAGCCTAGACACAGCGGAGCATAGGAGTTAGAGACAGACTCCCTGGGTGCACATCCTGGCTCCACAGTTTACTTGACCATTAGCAAGTTGTTTTAGCCTATGGGTGCCTCAGTTTCATCTGTAAAGTGGGAACGCTCAGTCTGCCTTAGGGTGGTTATAAGAGTTCAATGAATTGATATTTGTAAACAACATGGAACAACGCCCCATTTAGAGTGATGGTTAAATAAGTGTTCTGCTACTGCTCTAGAGGAAAATGGGTCCATAGTTTGTCAGAAGACAGAACGGAAATATATCAAGAAGTATCTCCGTCACTACATTTAGAACCAGTCACTGAAAATTTTCTCTGATCTTTTCAGGAATGAACTCCCCACCCCCACCCCCAGTGATTTAAAAAAGAAAAAAAAATGGACCAAAGGATTTTACTTAAAGTTTCTGCTGAGTGTGTGACATTTTATCCAAGGATCAGAGTCAACTCTATCACTTTAGGCAAATCATTGAACTTCCCAGAAGCTAATTTTTGATGAACATAATCAGTTAGGACTCGCTATCTCACAAGATTCCCAGGGAGGTCCAATGAATGATAAATGCAGGGGAACTTGCTTGGTGATAATTAATTACATAAATCATATCAATTTAATCATTTTTTTGCCATAACCATAATAAGCTCATGAATATAACAAGTTTCAAAATAGATATTGTTGAGGAAAAATCATGAGTGTGAGTCCATCGGAGTCCATTCATTGGTTGACCCAACAGCATGAAGGCATTGGGTGCATGGGAAGGTGGGAGGTTTACCAGATCTCTGTGGATGAAGCTGTTCCGTTCCAGATATTCCATCCCTTCACACACATCCTGACACATGCTCAGCAGCAGGTCTCTGCTGAAATGGCCTTGTCTCTGTCGGAGGACATTCAGGAGGCAGCCCCTTTCCATGAACTCGACAACAATGTAAATGGGCCTCTGCTGTGTGCACACGCCATAGAGCTGGACTAACTTCGGGTGTGTCAGTTTCCTGGCAAGGAAGATGTACATACAGAGAGTCACTACAGGCAGAGGGACAGGCAGGGCGATGAGCTGGGGAAGGACCACTTTTTATTTGAAAAGGGGAGGGTGGAGAAGATAGGAACTCACATCATCAGTTTGGCTTCTTCTATGAAGTCCTCCTCACACATGGCGCCTTCCCGGATAGTTTTGATAGCAACTTTGTACTGGGCCCGCCATTTGCCGAGCCTCACCACGCCAAACAGCCCGCTCCCCAGTTCCCTCATAAAGGTCAGCTCTGAAGGGTTAATCTCCCATTTTTCTGTAAGACATGAAATGACATTTAATCAGAACCCAGTTGGAAGGAAGCAGTCATGACCAAGATCATACCATTATCAGTGAGACATAGAACAGAGCAGCAACATGCCCCTGAATTGCAAAGCATGAATTTCCACTCCCTGGGATGGACAGTCCACCATTGCAGCTGTCCTCATACAACCAAGTGAACTGAAAACGCTTCATGATAGATGAATAATAATACTGCTTAAAAGTTAATGGTACCTGATGTGGTGGGGGCTTTAAATCAATACTTCGACCACACTTCTCTCTATGCTGTTGTTGTTTCAAATTCTATTGGAATTTACCTAAACCAAACATGTTACCACTGACTCAATTCCAACTCCTGGCAACCCCACGTGTGACAGAGTAGAACTGGTCCAGAGTACATGGCTTCCTTGGCCGTAATCTTTATGGATGTAGATCACCAAGCCTTTTCTTTTGTGGTACTTTTGAGGGGTGGGGGTGGGGGTCCAACCACCACTTTTGGTTGTCGCCCTGCACAAACGCTTTGCTCCACCCAGGGACCTCAGAAACTATCAGTTAACCTGATGTTTAAAAAGCCTTGGCCTAAAACAATAATTGAGTTGGATGACTTCTCTATTACATCAATCTTATTGAGGGGGTACCCCCACAAAAAACAAATAAACAAACAAACAAAAATGGGGGGGAAATCTCCACTCCGCAGTGAAGCTTTCATAGTACACATTTTCCCCTCTAGTTGTACATCCAGCAACTTGCTCTGAGTTAGTGCACCCAGTGGCATCGCCTGGGAAGGTTCTCTCTGGCCAATTTAAGTGTGAGTCTATGAAATTTTGTTTCCTGCTTGGGAAAAATGCTACAAAACTGTTGTGCTGTCAAACACAGCTTACAAGGACAGTGCTATGGGAAAAACTCAAGTGTACAAGTGGTTTTCTCATTTCAAAACAGTGAAATGTTGATTGATGACAAACCTTGTCATTCTGGACATCTGTCAATTTCCCAAAGGGATGAAATGTCACAAAATGTGTCCACTTGTGCTCAAAGACTGATGACAGTGGAGCACTGAGGAGATGGGGAAGTTATCTGGATTGTCTTGGAGAGCTTAGTTTAGCGAACTTTTAATGAAAGGTTTGGGAATGAGAAGGGACTCTGCAGAAGAGCGTTGAGCATGCCATGCTTTGAAAGAACAGCTCCTAAGGGGTCCAGACTTTTCCCCCCAAGGTCATTACTGGTGATTAGACACGGTGCTCTTCTTACAACCCCCAAAACAAACATCAATCAAGCCAGTGGGAAATGTCATGGTCACCTCACTCAAAAAAAGCTCACCAGGTGAAATGAAAGATCAAGATGATGCTCACTTGTTTTTGTGATGAGAGGGGGACAGTGCATTCCAAGTTCATTCCACCAGGTCAGAATGTTAAATAGGGCTTCTATTTAGAGGTTCTGAATAGATTGTATAACAGTGTGAGACCCCAAAAAGGCCTGATTTGTGCCATACGGGGGACTGGCTGTGCCACCACAACAATGTAGCTGCTCACACAGCAATCTCAGTGCTCCAGTTTGGGGAAAAAAAAACCCAGCATGCCGCTCTTATCCCACGTTAACTTACTCCCTTACTCCCCTGGCCTTGCTCCGTGGGACTTCTTATTGTTTCCGTGAATGAAGAGGGACATGAAAGGACAGCAATTTAATGACATAGAAGAAGTGAAGAAAAAAATGAGGGAGTTGCTATCAGCCATCCAAACGAATGAGTTTGAAAAATGTTTCCACAAATGGAATCGCAAATTTGACAAATGTACTTTGACAGTGATAAGGTTGTTTCGTAAAAAAGTTTAAATACATAGCTTTGAAAAAAATCCGTTATTTTTTTGGGGGGGTGGCGGGGAGGTTACCTCCTTGTGCATCCCTGTGAGTAACCAACAATGGTGCTGAGAACCAGGAATAACTTTGATTTACTTTAGATGTAACACGATAAAGCTAATTTTTCATTGTCAGCCAATTTTCTATTGGGTTATGAATAATGATGAAAGTAGAAATCTTTGGGTTACTACAGCTGCAAGCATAATCATGCAAAACAAAACCCTATCCAAAAAGCATATAAAAAAGTTTCACTGTCTAAGAGTCTATATCTGAATTTGTCTTATGACAAGGAACATTAGCCAAAACAGCAATAAGATGAGGATTACCATAGCTGAAGCCTGCAGTAGTTGGTGCAGTCCCTCCTTTTACACTAACTGGGTACCGAAGCCTTGTGACGAGTCCTAGGAAACAAAACAAATACTGTAGATGAACTCGTTCTTCATCCTCATGAAAGTAGAGACATCTGAAAATTCATTCATTTGTTCATTTTCTGATCACCTTCCAAGTATAAGACAACACAGAGTGATTAGCTATGAAGTTAAGAAGAATGTGGGGGTGGGAACTAAATTTATGCAAGGGATAGAAGGGGCCTGTGATAGTTGGGTTTTATGTCAACTTGGCTCAGTCAGGATTCTCCGTGGTTCAGCAGTTGGACCTGGCAATCTCCCATGAAGGGACCTAAAGGTATAATCAACTCCATGATGGAGTCAGCTGTAGGCTGCAAAGCAGTTGTAAGAGGATTAGGGAGAGTGCAGCCAACTTACGCAGGCCTCAGCCCTCCTACTGTCGAAAGGATCTTTCCTTGGGGTTAGGGGTGGCCTGCTCCTATTAAAGCCGATTCTGTGGCAAGGCTTGTCTCTTCTTGCTGGTCTGGATCCTGCACCTACCACATCAATCTTTGGTTCTTAAGACTTAAGCCAACAGCCTGCGATACTGTCTGCTGACCCTAGGAGCCATCAGCATCTAACATCTGACCCACCAATCTTGGACTTGCACCCCTCAGCTTCCTGCTTCCTGGTTTGTCAGAACCAGCAGCTACAAAAGTCAGGAAAAGTCTCCAGGTTAACATGTGATCCATGGTCTTGAATTAGACAGGACTTTTCCATTTTTACAGCTGTGTGAGCCACTTTCTTGATGTGAATTTCTTTACACATACGTCACTGCATTTGCTTCTCTAGAGAATGCAGACTAGCACAGGGCCATAGGTAGAAAAGTCCTTAAGAATGGAGTTGCATTTTTAATATCTTAGGGATGAAGTTACTATGTGCAGTGTTAGGAAAAAAGGAGGCAGGAGGAAAGGCAAGTGGAAAGGTGGGGAAACAGAGAGACTGGGAGGATATAAGACTAGGACTCTACTCTCTGAATTTGACAATTGCTTATTTTTATGGGTCATATTTTTTTCTCTCTCTTTTTTAAAGTCATTTTATTGGGGGCTCTTACAGTTCTTATAACAATCCATACATCAATTGTGTCATGTATATTTGTACATATGTCGGCATCATAATTTTCTAAACATTTACTTTCTATTTGAGCCCTTGGTATTAGCTCCTC